GAGGATCTTGAAGTTGATCTGTTCGGTGTTGGGGAGCCAGTGGAGCCTGGCTATGTATGGTATGTGGGGGATGAAGGACAGCTGGGGGTCGTACCAGATGCCTAGATTGCGCAATGGCTCAGAGAGTCTGAGGGAGAACCCAGGGAGGTTGAGGAGTTCAGAGTTCACTCCACAGGAGTGAAGACTTTGACAGGAGCCAACAAGGTTTCTGTACTGTCCACGTTAAGCTGCAGGAAGTTTGCGCTCATCCATGCCCTGATGCCTACCAGACATGCTTGTAGAACATCTGCGGACCTGGAGTCGATACTGGAGGAGGCAAAGTAGATTTGTTTGTCATCCACATGCATGTGGAGGTTTACCCCATGTTTGCAGATGGCTTTGCCAAGAGGGAGTGAATAGATGTGAAGTGGTGCAACTGCATTTCAAATGTGTAAAATAAATACCAGTTGATTTACTGATTTACACTGCTATCTGCTGATTTATTAAGTGTTGAAACACTAATATTTATGGTTTCCACCACGTCAATAAAGAAATGGAAGTGTCCACCTCAGAAAAGAAATAAGCTCCGCCCTCTGCTGTGGGAAGGGGAAACGATTAACCAGACATTCAGTTATCAGCCTCTTTATTTTCTCTGCAAATAACTTTGCAATCTAATACTTCACAGCTCAACAGTCTGCTCAGACAGCATTATATAAGATCGTTGAAGACATTGAGCCACTCGTATAACACCTTGTATAAGACCCTGCTGTTTTAAAGAAAAAATGCTGACATGCTCCATTCTAGGAAGGATGGTTATTAAGACAGTTGCAAACCATAACCAAGTGAAAGATGCAAAGTCTAAAGAGGGGATAGAATTAATAAAAGAGAGAAAGGCGGTTCTTAATACAGAAGAAAAGAAACAATTATAATTTAGATTATTGAAATTACTGTTGAAGAATTCTTTCAATTTTATAATAATCATATAATTTGATACAGTACCAATAACACAATAAATGGTTCAAAGGCAATTATTGTCAAGTGCATTGTGCAGTTGTAGGGCACCTCCGGAATCATATTTCCCACAGTAGGATATCACGAGTATTCAATATGTTAAGAAGATTGTTGGTCAACATATTGGGAAAAAGATCTTCATTGAAACAGAATCGTAGAGTGCACCTGACAGAAATCAATTTATCATTTTAGCTGCAGAGTATGAGCTCAGGTCCAAGCATTGTATTTGAACAGCCAACCTGCTCCTCCAGAGAGAGGAATGCTTCAAACTGAGCTAAGCTTATACTTAAATCACAACTTTATCTATCTCCAAATTATCACTTTCCCTCTTGACACAAATGTAATTCTACTCTCCACCCTGCGGTGGTCACCACATGAGTGCATGTACATTGCCTGTTCTTCTCTACAAGACCAACTCTGTTTCGGAAGTCACATCAGAACAACGATTTTTATTGGTGAATTTATGTTTCTTTCACAGTGCAATAAATGAACTATAGAGGTTGGCAAACTACAAACTACAACAAGTGAGTTAGATTTGTTGTCTATAATTGCATTGCCACTCTTCCTTCTTAGAATTGTGGATACCTCATTGAAAAAACGAATACTGAAGTTTAAAGGAAGTACTGACAATTCATAAAACGACTGATGCTGTGGCAGGGTCTGCAGCGCCAACCTGTGGTATTTCGAGGGAAAAGGAGCATTTGTGGTGGATGTACGTTCAAACCCCACATTATTTCCTTCAATCACCAGCTGGTCAGTTGTATTAATAATAATCCTCTTATGCATCATTACAACAACAACAACTTGCACTTGTATAGTGCCCTCCATATGGGGTAGTGTCTTAGAGCGCTTAACAATGGTGGGGCTTGACTCTGAGCTGAGGGTGCGGGGTTGGGGGAAGGTAGCCATAAGCACGGTCGAAGAGGAAGGTTAAGTCATAAACTCTCAAAGCGCTCTGCAGAAATTACTGTTATGTGTGTATTTGAAGGCAAGTTTGTATATGTTCCTTGATAAATTGCTCCCAGTTAAATCAACAGAACCATGTAGACCACTATTTAGTGCATATTCTAACATTAATTAGAAAGTACTCCCAAAATCCGTAGACAAAAGATTATCTTCTGAAGTCCGCTGAATTTGGTGTGTTCAGGCACAGGTTGCTTCACAGCATGTCATCTTGCAGCTACTGCAGCTCTAAGGAGATCTTGCTTACCTCCCCCCAAGGAGGATAGTGGTCAGTTGATATCCAAGAAGCACAGGTTTGAGCCCTCAGTAGGTGGATGGCATCTACCAGGAACACCCTGCAAGTTTCCTCATGGGCAACCCAGCTAAGCATTACATTTGTGATAACATTGCCACCATCTTCCTGCCATAGCTAGGACACAGATCCCTTCCCATTGAGCAATGGGAAGTTGAAGGTGCTGAGTTTGAGCAGCACATGTATATGTCTCTGCATAACAATCAAGGTTGATTCCAAGCCCTGGATATATGAACCTGTGTTACCAATTCAGATCCAGGAAGCACCATTGTCCCTCCAAGCAGCTGTCTCTCCCCATACCTCAGCATTTCCTCATCAACAATCTGATGGACATATGCCTTTGGTGTGGTGGAAGGACCTTTACAGGTCCTGTACAACTTGTGATTTGCCAGCTGCCTCGGTCCATCTCCAATGCTATGCACCAGACACGTTCTGCACCAGCTGCTTAATCCAGGGCCTCATGCAAAGGGACTTGTCAAATAGACATGCCTGCTTTGTGTCTTCCAATCAAAAGCCTCTTCGGCCATACAGAAACATGGTTCTGCACTTGTGGGCAACTACCATCTTGTCCCACTGTGATCCTGTGTTCAAGATGGTGGCATCAGCAATATAGTCACAATGGTGGCTATGGCTTGATCTGACTGAAGCATGATGATGGGTGTTTGCATGACAATCTTTGTGTCAGGTGCCCACCTGACAATATAAAAAATATTTTCGAAGCATAAAATTAAGCACAAGCTCATGCTATTGTGCAATAAATAAACCTGTGCCATTCTCATTCTACTGCAGTTATTAAATGCCATTCAGTTGAACAACTCTATACATATCAGAGAACCTAAGGATTTTGCCGTTACTTAGTCGGACAAAACGGAACCAGATACAGTCCCAAGATTAAGTCAAATCTAATCATTACTTTAATATCCTTATATCTGGTGTAGGGCTTTGTCACTTCATTGAGGTGCCTCAAAATCATCAAAGGATTTTACTGGGAAGCAGCATTTTACTTGGATTTTTCTGTAGGTACCCAGTATTCAATTTGCTCGCAGCATTATCACACAAACAGTCTTGAAGTAAATGACCAATTTTCTTTTGGAGGATTGTTGGCCAGGAGCCTTGTATCAACTCCTTTTTCTTTTTTGGATAGAGTCATGCAATCTTTAACGTTCACCTGAACAGGTAGATGGGACCTTGGTTTAATAGCTCCAAAGAATGGTATCTCTAACAATGTTTTCTCCAGTTACTGCTCTGTTTTTTTTTGTGGGCACCATTTATTGTTTTTATTGCTAACTTCTGTCTTTTTTAAAAACTTAAATTGTAATTCTTTTTAATCTTATCTGTCTCTGAGGTTATAAAATAACCATGAAAGTTAAGCTTTATCCTTGCAGATTTTGTTAGAACTAACATTCTTATACATGCTGAATCAATGCTTTAAAAGTGTCATGTTTGGTACAATAAAAAATCTGAATTTTAATCAGCGATAATATTGCGTCAAAAGACAGTGAAACTAGCAATTGTAAATGCACTTTATTTAAAATCAACAATGTATTGCCTCAAAAGTAGAACTCAGTACAATCAATCGTAGGATTACACAATTAGCACTATTGGTATTCAACAATGCATTATTAATATTAACAATATATGGTGAGAATGATTGTGGAAATATATATTAACTGTAAGACACAAATGATTATAAATCCGATAGATTGTGCATGGTGTATATTTATGTGCAGTTGAAAGAGAAAGGAACAAATAGTGTGAAAACAACAAAGTTATGCATAATATTAGTGATGGTCACAATATTGTTCTTTATCTCCAAATGCGTGAGTAATGCATGGATATGAAACAAATTTCCTTCAAGTTCACCAGTGCATTGAAATTATCAAATGATGCAAAGTAGCTGTTGCTCCTATTCGAAATGTTAATGTAGGAGAGTAAAAAGTACGTTATTACAAACATTTTCATTTTGAACGTTTTCATTTTACAAAGGTTTTTATGAACTAAGTTGCACAGTAGATCATCACTTCCCCCTCCACTGCCTCTATTCCTGCATCCATCATAGTGGGACTGCAATCTCCTGGTTCAAGCAGTACTTAACCAACTGCCATCACTTCATCTCAGTAATATATATGTAAATATAACTTTGCAAAGAAATATACACAGATGTAATAAGTGCTTGAAAGAGATGAACTTTAAACTGCTTGAAATCTTTACCCTTTGTATCTCTGTATAGGCTCTGTGCAATACTACTTGACAGAGTAGGAACTAGACTACCAAATATATTGGTTTAGTCTGACGTAAAATATCATAGATTTTATAGGAGACAATCACAACATCACATTTCAGGTACGGAAGTCTGAAAACGTTTTATAAAATCAGAGTGGGAGCCCCACTGCGCCCACAGGGACAGGAAGTTAAGCATCACTTTCACACATTTTATCTCAACTGACTTACAACCCCTTGTTGCAGATCAGTGACAGCTTTACAGGGTTTGTCTCAGTCAGAGATCAGGATGTTGGCGAGTGTTGCGTTTCAGTGTCTGTCTCTCATGTGGATCATTACTAAAGGTTTGTCCTTATTCAATATCCTAGTTTGCTGAAAAAAGACAAGGATAAAGTTCTTATTCTAGTTGCATCCATTCATATAGTCAACCGAGTCTCTATCTTGCCGAGTGTACCGAGTATCGGGTTTGTCTCTTTGTTGCAGGACTTTTGTCTCAAAACAATGTTTGAATTAATTTCTGACAGTTGCTGACGGGATGTCGATCCACGTAACTCAACATCCCAAACACGTCGCTATCAATAGAGGTGAAAATGTGAAGTTCTCCTGCGCCTTGTCTTTCACCACGAGTTTGAGAATATACTGGTGGAAGCAGGGAGAGAGTGAATACCTGGCAGGTGATCACAAGAAAGTATTTGGTTTGGAAAATACAGGAAGCGCCTTCTTCAAGCTCCTGGATGCAGCTCTCCAAGACTCTGGAATTTATTACTGTACAGTCGTGACTCAGGGAAATATAACAGTAGATGGAGCTGGATCACATTTAACTGTCTGTGGTAAGTGTCACTATATGGCAGAGATTGTAACTATTATTTTTACTAGAGCCATAGTTTACAGTTATATATCGCCTCTCATTGTTGGGAAAGCATCTTAAAATGTTTTATAAAGGCTGAGGGGCAACAGGAGCTGAGACCAAGCTGGGAGGGGAGAGAAGCCAAAAGGACAGTCAAAGAACTACAACTTCAGGAAGTATTTGAAAGGAGAGAGGGAATGGTGAAAAGGATTGATTTCGGGAAGGAATTGTGCAGCCACAGTGGGCGCTCTGTGCAGCCCCGGGCGAGGGAATAGCCGGTCGAGTCAGCTCTCACAAGACTGAAGATAGGGCGCAGTAAGAACATTTGAAATTAGATGTTTTATAGTACAATTGAGTGTTAGAAATAGTTTAAGCAGTGCCGTTTAAACCTTTACAACAAAAGAATATTTAGTTTCTCCCTATCTTCATCAATATATACTCAACAACACAACTACTACAACTTGCATTTATACAGCGCCCTTCACGAGGGGAAGTGCCCCAGAGCGCTTTATAGTGGGAGAGTCTGACCCTGAGCCAGGAGGAGAGAGAAAGGGGAGGTGACCGTAAGCGGGATGAAAAAGGAAAGTCTTTAGATGGGATTTGAAAGTGAGGAGGTTGTGGACAAGGCCGAGGGATTGAGAGAGAGAGTTCCAGACTTTGGGGTGTAGTGGCTGAAGGCATGGCCACTGATGGTGGAGCGGAGGGGGCAAGGGACGAACTGGAGGCCGGAGCCAGCTGAGCGGTGGCAGAGGGTGGTGATTAACTCATGCCTGTCTTACTCGAACCAAACATCCGTACCCACATCTCACCAGTTCTGGCCAGGCTTCCCATCACCGATTGGATTGACTTCAAGATCTTCACACTCGTGTTCAAATCCCTTCACTCTTTGGCACCTCCTTTTACCTCTCCTACCTCCTCACACCCCAATGCACCAACCGGCGCCTCCGCTCGATTGGCACCGACCTCTTGCTCATTCCTCTCACCTTCCGCCCCAATATCGATGTCAAGCTTTCAGCCACTACACTCCAAAACTCTGGAACACTCCCTTATTGCTTCCAAATTTTTACTGAGAACTGAAATGAGACTAACCAGCTGTTTTGTTCCTGGTTTATCTTTTGCACTTTTCTTGAAAAATGGCACTCCTTCTGGCACCCTTCAATCATCCGCACCCTATCAGTTTCCAACACATTTGGAAAATCATTGGTAGAGCCTCTACTGTCTCTTCACTGGTTTCCTCAACAATCTGGAATCCCATCAGAGACCTGTGACTTCTCAAGTTTATAGCAAAGAAGACAATTTGGCTCATATTGTCTATACTGAATCTTTGAAGTTCCTTTTAGGAATTTTTACAGTTCCCTTCTAAAAAGTAGTAACGATCATACAATGTGTCTCGACCACAGCATCCGGCAGGACAATCTATATCCTAACACTCTGTGTGAAAAAAAAATCGTAAACTTCCTTATTTGCTCCTTTGCTAACTATCGTAATTTGAAGTCATCTAGTCACCGACTCTCTGACCAGAGGTTCATTATATCAAAACCCCTCATCACCTTAAAGACTGTAAACTTCACACGTGTCTGCATTAAATTTAATTTGTCATTTCTCTGCCCATTCAATGAATCTGTACATTCCCCCTGAAGTTGGATAGCATCTTCTTGCAATAACTGAATGCACCTTCTTCATTTTCCATATTTTTGTGTTTTCTGCAAACGTGAAAATTGTGCCTCTTACACCAGAATCCAGATCACATAAAAATGTCAAATTATTCTAGATTAGTGGGAAGTGACTCAAAAAGTTTTATTAATAGCTGGTGAATTTGGTCAGTCGCTTCATGGCTATAGTGAGACATTTCTGTGCACAAAATTGTCTGCTGTGTTTGCTAGCAAATGCAGGCAACACTTTTTACAATAAAGCCTGCAAAGTGAATTGAGACGTGATCAGATGCTATATCAAAGATTTTTTATTGCAGTGCCCCCAATTGTACTGAAGCTTTCCTCTAATGCTCCTCAAAAAGATTCATCTCCATTTCTGACTCTCTTGTGTGAAACAACCGCATTTTATCCAGAGAATGTCACCTTCACTTGGTCTAAAAACAGCACCGAAATTACAACTGGGATAATCACCACTAATCAATTGAATGCAGAGGGATTGTTTGAAGCTTCCAGCTGTATGGAGGAGACACAGTCTGTCCAGAATGGGACTGTTTATACCTGTCGGGTGTTTCACCTCAGCCTCCAGACTCCGGGAATTGGCAACTACACGGTTCACCTTCCCAACATAGGTAGGAATCCAATAATTGCAGTATTAATTAGTGTTAACTGTATTTTACAAGAATATTTCCTTCTGTTAATTCACGTGAGAAATGGCAGCCATACAGTTTCATAATTTGCTTCATGTAAAAACATTCTACTTAAAATGAAGAATCTTTGAACGATAAGAAATGTTTAATGATTTTCTCGGTTGTGTCAGTGGGTAGGTTAGTTTTACTTTTTATTTTGCAGAAAGTTGATGCTACTGAAAAGTCCAAACTGGATCATGTGCTACACTGAAAATTATAAAGTGTACCACTCCTCAATCTAATCTATTTAATGATAACATGCCTGTTAAACGCTACCATGAGTAGCACACAGTCTACATCTTTACTCCATTGGCTCCCTCTCCTTCAGAGGATCCAGTTCAAGATTCTGGTCCTCACCTACAAAGCCTATGGCCTCGCCCCACCCTACCTCAGTGACTTCCTAACCCCCTACCAACCCACCCGTTCCCTCCGCTCAGCCGGCTCCGGCCTGCTCCACGTCCCCCCGACCCACCCGCCCCACCATTGGCGGGAGAGCCTCCAGCCACTCTGCCCCCATCTCTGGAATTCCGTCCCCAATCACTCCGCCTCGGCCCCTCCTTAGCCTCCTCAAGTCTTGCCTCAAAACCCTCCTCTTCGACCATGCCATCGGTCATCCCCCTTCCCCTCCCCTCCCTTCTCCCACCCTGACCCCAGCTCAGGTCTGAAATGCTACACATTGTCCAGTGCCTCCTGACGTGAAAGGGGCTATACTAATGTAATCTAGTTGTTATTGTTGTTGTTACTTTAAGCACTCCATGACACCTCCCTACGTGAAGGGGGACAGGTGGGGGGGGAATAATCCCTTCAGAAGATAATAATAATTTTGTCACTCAATCCACGACTGTTTATGGCACACTACTGGGTGCAATTGACTGCCGCATTTCGCCCCCAAATATAGAGCTAATTCACTTTACAATATATGCTGTAAAATGCTTTTAAACATCTCAACAATGTGATGAGGCACTATATCAAATGCAATGATTATTATTATTGTTCTTATTACTATATCAAATGTTTCCCAATTCACACTGTGAATATCTATCTTCTCTTGTCATGTGGTTTGCCTCATGCATATAGAATCACATTCAACAGTCATCGTAGAATATTTGAACCATTGGTGTTGTAAAATAATATCACTTGCCCCTGGAAATATTAAAACCTTGGGTTTCAAAAGATTACCTTCTAATCTATGAGGAATCTGAGCACGACATCTATAATTTTCATCACATTTCCGATTTTTTATGAGTTAATATTTTGTCCCTGAAATATATTTAATGCTCTGTCTGACCTGGTTTCACTGTGCTAACTATTGTTATTCCCAGATCACAGTCTCTGTTCATAGGCTTCATATAATTCTGTGTCAGCCTGGCGGAGTGCTGGCACACTCACCTCTGAGTCAGAACATTTTGAGTTCAAACCTCATTTGGGGACTTAGATTCACATAGTCTAAGTAAGATGACACTCCAATCCAGTGTTGCAGTGTTGCATTGTCAGAGGTGACATCCTTCGGATGAGAGATTAAACCAAGATCCCGTCTGCCTGTTCAAGTGGACGCTATCAATCCCATGAAACTATCCAAAAAGAGAAGGAAGATTCTCTCTCCTGGTGGTCTGGCCAATAATCCCACAAATAAAAGTGTTCACTCACTGTTTGTGAGATATTATTGATGCAACTAGCTGCTGCGTTTCGCCCACAAAATATAGTCAAAAGACACTAAGGTATTACATCAAATGCAAGGACTATTATTTATTATTAATAATTGTGTTTTTCGTCAGAACTCAACCATATTTCGCCTGAAATCGGGAGTTAAACCTGAGGACTAATGACCCTGCAGCCCGTATCCCAATGTAATTTAGCGCACAATGTATGCAATATTTGACTCTGTTCAACGTCAATCATCACTTGTGCCCTGCCAACATGTTTCATTATCTGCAGTTGTCTCTCTATAAAATAATTAACTTTCTGTTTCATCTCTCTTATTCTACAGTAAATATAATCGAATATCTTAATTTCAATGGGTAAAACAAGTCACCTGAAACATCCATTATATGCCCAAAAATATACGGTTAATTCACGTTGCAATATATTCTGTGAGGCACTTTGAGACATCTTGGAGACATGATACGGTGCTATATCAAATACAAGGATTATTATTATTAATATAATATATAGATTTTACTTAAAATGGATAAACAGAAAATCGTAATTTGTCCTGAAAACACTTTACTTTCTGGAGAATTGTGCAATTACTGAAATTGTAAACCATTGCATCACAATGTGCAGTTTAACCTCTCATCTCCCAGTGTCCAGGCCAACAATCCCCCAAATAAAAGTGTTGTGTTTCACAACGACTGTAAGGCATTACTGTGTGGAAACTGGCTGCTGTGTTTTGCCCAAAAATACACAATCCAACAGTTTACAGTATATCATGTGAAGTGCTTTGAGGCGCCTTGACGATGTGAAAAGACATTATGTTAAATGCAAGGATTATTATTTCATTATTATGATCTTATATTATTTTGATAGAAGAAAAGGATCGGTTGCTATATCTATCACTGATCGCTGGATGTACAGTGGGGCTGTTTTTTTTGGTGCTTTTAGTATTCTTTGGAAATCGATCCAAATTTATGAAAATGAAAGGTAAGAATCAATTTGTTTTGTTCTGATTAATTCTGGATGCTTGATTTTGAGACATGTAAGTGTGCAAGTGCTATTGTCCTCCGTTGACACAGAAAGACGGTTTTGCATCGAAATATAGACCTAGAAGCTCTAGTTGCCCAATTGCTTTTTATTCTATAACATACATACACACATATACTCATTTATACACACACATACGCACATATACACACACACACATATATATATACACACACATGTACACACACATATGCACGTATATATATATAAACACACACACATATCCACACACACACAAACACATAGATATATATACACACGCACGCACATACACATACACACATATATAGATACACATACATATATACACACAGACTCATACATATACACATACATATACACGCATACACCAATACACATATATACACATACACGTATCTATACACACAAGCATATACACACACACATATATACATGCACATACATACACGTATACATATACGCATACACATATATGCTCACACACACCTATGTATACACACATATACACACACATACATACATATATAGACACGCATATCAATATATATAGATTCACACATGCACACATATACACACAAATACATATGCACACACATATATACATACACATATACACAGATATATATATATATATATACACACATACATACACATATACACATATATACACACACATACATATATTTACACATACACACACATACGCATATATAAACACACACATACACACATGTATACACACACACATAAATTGCTGGCAGGGTGAAACCTAAGGCAAATTTCCTTACTCCACATGCCTGATAATAAACCCTCAAGAAAAAAAATTATAAATTGGTCACTTCAATCCACGGCTGTTTGAAGGACACTGCTGTGCGCAATTGGCTGCAGTGTTTTGCCCACAAAACATACAGTCAATCACTTTACAATATATTCTGTGAATTGCTTTGAGATATCTAGAAGATGTGAAAAGCACTTTATCAAATGCAAGGGTTATTATTATTATTATATTATTATTGTTTTCATTCTCAATTGGAGATTCAGTAAAAATGTCAGTTATTGTATTTCATTCATTTTAGGGGTACACAGGAAACAGAATGATCCAGACCATCATAACCAACAGGTAACATACATCCCATGCATACCTAAAGGGTGATTGATAGCATTGAAAAGGATTGTGTTGTTTATAATTATATGAGGATGTTTTCAAAATATTTCTTACCTGATTACCCGTTTCACTATGTCATTCAAATTGGGTTCACACCAATATGAGGCACCAAAGCAATGCAGGTAACATAATAAACAAGCCAACCGGTCTTGAGAAAACATTCCCATACATTAGGGCAAAAGTTGAGAGTTTCAGTTTGTGATTTACAGGCAATGCAAGGAGGAGATGCTGAGACGGTGACTTATATCACACTGGATTTGAAAAGTTCCAATAAACTTTCAAGACCTAAACATCAGGAGGACAGGACAGTGTACGCCAAGGTACAGCTGAAAATATACAATTATATTATTCTAACCGTAATAAAGAGATTGAAGCCCATGTGTTCTGTTTTGGACACCTCACTTCAGGGAGGATGTTAAATCCTGCAGAGAAGATTTGTGAAGTGTGGTTTGTTTTCATTGGAGCGAGACTGTTCAGAGGGGATCTGATCAACATGCACCAAATTACAAATTATGTTAAAATCTGCCAAGAAGATGTGTGAGAATTATATAAGGAAGCTGGAGAAATCTGCTTCCATTGGAGCAAAGAAAGTTGTGAGGGGATCTGATAAAGGTGTATCAAATTCGCAATGATTTTGACATGGTATGAAGAATGAAGCTATTCCCGCTGATAAGAGAGTCAGAAAATAGAGGACATGTATACGTTAGTCTAAAGAGCGAAAGGAAAGTTCAGCAGATTGTTTTCACACTGGGCCTTGTTTTGGTAAGGTAGTAAAAGCAGAGCCTATTGTGAGTTTCAATAAAGAAGTCGATAGGCCCATGAATTATATACTGAACGGGGCCTCTAGTCCCCAAGACCTCAACAACTTATCCCAAATATTGTTCTTTATTCGTGAGCCTAGACAGTGCATGCAGCAAATTAGGCTCCTCGATAGACATCACTACTTAATGGAAACAGTCTTACGCACCTCTTTCCGACAGACAATTGACGAATTGCACACTACCTGAGAGGTCCCCCCTCTCCATTCCCAGGCAAGGGATGTTGAGGTTATTTGCCTCGCTGCCTGGACAACTCTGGGAGGGAGCTGGGTACCTCTGGGTTCCTACAGATGGGTTTGGAACTGAACAGTTGTCTTTACAATTGAGCTATAGAAGAAACTATCAAAGAGATTCCAATGGTTATTTTTTTTTCTGTTTGAATTTTCGTATAAAGACTGAATTCATTAAATTCCAATTCCGTGGCTTTTTTAGATCAAACAAAAGGCAGAAGATGATAAGCAGGTATATGCTACTTTGGAGTTTTCTGGCCCGGAGACAGTAGGAAAACCTAAGAAAAGCAACCCAAATATAGAGTATACCGCAGTGCAGGTGAGAAATCGCGAAGGACATTGGAGGGCGTTTACAGGAAACCAAAATCAATGATATGTGGCAATGTTAGCTGCAGGAGCTGATTATTAGAGCAAAGTGATGGTAGGTTCTCTAACATATAAAGTAATATGGTAGGGCCTATACATGGTAGGAAACCTACCATCAGCCCCACTCCCACCCCACCACCTACACGCCACCACCCACCCCCACCACCACATACACGCGCATACACACACACACACACATCAATGAATGTTGAGTTCATTGCAGCTTTCTCCATATAAATTGGGGTTGGAGCCAGGTACATCTATGATACTTATAGCACTGAATAGTTGGCTTTATCAAGTGAGATATGGGAATAAACAAGATGGAGATACGTATCAACAAGGGGCAGAAAACTCTAGTGGGAGTAGTTTATAGCCCCCCGAACAGCAGTCACAGTATCTCTCAAGGTATAAATCAGGAAATTAGCAGAGCACGTAGTAAAGGAAAAACATTAATTGTGGGTGATTTTAATCTGCACATAAATTGCGACAATCAAATTGGGAAAAATATGATAGAAGAAGAGTTTATAGAATGTATTAGGGATAATTATCTGTATCAGTATGCCGAAGAACCAACCAAGGAACAGGCCATATTAGACCTTGTTTTGTGCAATGAAGCAGGGCTGATCAGCAAACTGGAAATTAAGGCTCCTCGAGGGCAAAGTGATCATAATATGATGGAATTTAGCATTAAGTTAAAGAGAGAAATAGTTAAGTCCGAAGCAAAAGTTTTAAATTTAAGTAGAGCCAATTTTGCTGGTATGAGAAAGAATTTAGCCAAAATAAGTTAGACTAAAGGATTTGACAGTAGACCAGCAATGGCAGACGTTTAAGGAGATAGTGCAAAATCCCCAGCGAGCACGTATTCCTTTGAGGAATAAGAATGCCACGGGAAAGGTGGCCCAACCGTGGCTAACTGGAGCAGTTAGGGAAAGTATAAAGTTAAAGGAAGAAGCCTATAAAACAGCTAAGATAAGTAGTAAACCCGAGGATTGGGAGAACTTTAGGGATCAACAAAGGAGAACCAAAAAAGTGATTAAGAGGGAGAAAATGGAATATGAGGGCAAACTAGCGAAGAACATAAAGACAGACTGTAAGAGTTTTTACAAATATATAAAGAGGAAGAGGCTGTCAAGGGTAAATGTGGGTTCGCTACAGGCAGAGACGGGCGGAATTATAGTAGGGAACAAAGACATGACAGAGTCATTAAACAAGTACTTTGCTACTGTCTTCACCTTAGAAGACACTGAAAACCTACCAAGAATAGAGGGGAACCAAGAAGACAATGTTAGCGAGCAACTTGGAGGAATTAATATTAGTAAAGAAATGGTTTTAGGTAAATTATCAGGTCTTAAAACTGATAAATCTCCTGGACCTGATGGCCTACATCCTAGGGTTTTAAAAGAGGTGGCTACTGAGATAGTGGATGGCTTGTCTTTGATCTTCCAAAATTCTCTGGATTCTGGAACGGTTCCCATTGATTGGAAGATTGCAAACGTAACACCACTATTTAAGAAGGGTGGGAGAGAAAAGATGGGGAACTATAGACCAGTTAGTCTGACATCAGTAGTAGGGAAAATTCTTGAGTCCTTAATTAAAGATGTCGTTATGGGATTCCTGGAAGACCATAACAAGATTAGGCAGAGTCAACATGGCTTTACAAAAGGGAAGTCATGCTTAACTAATCTTTTAGAGTTTTTTGAAGATGTATCTGCAGGTTAGATAGGGGAGAACCAGTAGATGTAGTATATTTAGATTTTAAAAAGGCATTTGACAAAGTGCCACACAAAAGGCTATTGCACAAGGTTAAGGCCCATGGGATTAATGGGAACATATTAGCATGGATTGAAGAGTGGCTAATGGGTAGAAAACAGAGAGTAGGGATAAACGGGTCATTCTCGAATTGGCAGGATGTGACTAGTGGAGTGCCACAAGGATCAGTGCTTGGGCCTCAGCTATTTACAATTTACATCAATGATCTAGACGAGGACATTGAATGTAACATATCTAAATTCGCGGATGACACTAAACTCGGTGGGAGAGTAAGCTCTGAGGATGATGCAAAAAGATTGCAACGGGATATAGATAGGCGAGGGGAGTGGGCAAGTAGGTGACAGATGGAATTTAATATGGGAAAGTGTGAAGTTATTCAGCTAGGTAGCAAAAATAGGAAAACAGATTATTTTCTAGAGAGGGAGAGATTAGATAGTGTTAGAGTGCAGAGGGATTTGGGTGTCCTTGTACACCAATCTCAAAAAGTTAGTTTGCAGGTGCAGCAGCAACTAAGAAGGCGAACGGCATGTTAGCATTCATTGTAAAAGGTTTAGAGTACAAGAGTAGGGAAGTCTTGCTGCAATTGTATAGGGCCTTGGTGAGACCGCACCGAGAGTATTGTGTGCAGTTTTGGTTTCCTTATTTAAAAAAGGACATACTTGCCCTGGAGGGGGTGCAGAGTAGATTCATTCGGTTAGTTCCTGGGATGAGGGGATTGACCTATGAGGATAGGCTGAATAAACTAGGGCTGTATTCTCTAGAGTACAGAAGAATTAGGGGAGATCTTATTGAAACATATAAGATTCTTAAAGGGTGGAATAAAGTAGACACTGAGGGTTTGTTTCCCCTGGTAGGAGAATCTATAACCAGGGGTCACAGTCTTAAGATTAAGGGTCAGCCTTTTAGAACAGAGTTGAGGAAACATTTCTTCACTCAGAGGGTAGTGAATTTATGGAATTCACTCCCCCAGAAGTGTGTAGATGCTCAGTCCTTGAACATCTTCAAGGCTGAGACTGATAGATTTTTAAAAAATAGGGATTAGGGGATATGGGGATAGGGCAGGTAATAAGAGTGAGGTCTGAAGATTAGCCATGATCTTATCGAATGGCGGGGCACAGGCTCAAGGGGCCGAATGGCCTACTCCTGCTCCTAATTCTTATGTTCTTATGTTCTTATATGGGTATTTTCAATGATATTTCTGATTTTTTTGCAAAGAGAGCAAACTAACTAAATTACCAATCCTTGCCTGTTACAGACCATGCAAGGGGCAGCTGGTAACAACCTCACATATGCTACTCTTCATTTTTCTGACTCCAAGACAACACAAAAAATATTCACCGTGAAGTAAATGCAGTGTATACCGAGATACAGGTGAGAAAGAACTCAGAGTAATCTACGGGGAGCTAAGACCTAATGTCACAATTTTATAAACCAATTTTAGTATATTGGTTATATTCTCTGTCATAGCGACTCAGCTCACTCACACCAATATTGTGCTGCTAGTACATCACCAGTATTTCCAGAGAAAATTGCAGTTCAAGAATCATAGAATAATGCCAGAGAAGCAAAACAGACCATTCTTCCCAAACCAAGCTGTGTGAATGCTTTTTCCACACCAATTAGCCCAATCTAAAACTTCTATTCGCTCACCAATCCACTGAGTTTCTCACTCTTTAAGAATCTGTCCTTCCCATTTCTTCGTTTACAGAGAAATAAAACTTTGTGCCCATACTTTGCGTGAAGAATTTTTCTAACACCAATTTTTCAGTTTTCAATTTTTATGATTATCCTAAATTTGTTCCCTCTACTAACTGACCAGCTGTGTTTTGCTCCACACAGTTAAGCCAATCTAATTTTCCTGCTTGCTCCCCAACCCCATGCCTTGACTTTTACCTAGAACTACACTTACAAAACTATCAGTATTTTATCAAAGTTGGACAAAAGGATAAACTAACAATGTTCCCGAACATTGGCTTTACAGGCTAATCAAGGGGCAGCTTAGCAGCTGACATATGATGCTTTAGAATTTTCTGCCTCCAAGAAAACAGGAAAATCTGAACACGATGACAAGAATACAGAGTAAGCCAAGTCATGGGCAAGAAAATCGAAAGGAGCAATAGAGGCCATCTTGATGAAACAGGATCCACAATGATATGTTTGGAAGCTGATTAGTGTACAGTACAATGTTAGTCATTCCATACAATGTGGAGTAATGAATTGCATCCGTCAAACACAACTGTAGTTACATGTGGGCTTTAAATATTTTAGGTGGTTTCTTGTAGAAAAGTAATCCTTCTTAAATTTATTTTTGGATTTAAGTACTAATGATGTTTTATATTTATCTGATAATGTCATTAGACCTATCTGGCGAATTTTTTAATTCAGAAATGGTCATTTATACCACAATAAACAATCCTCAAAAACACAAACCATAATCAGCTTAAATAAGTTTGGCGTCATATTGTATCGCGCTTTATCACCTTTTTTAAAGATATGCCGTATCATTTTTTGTGAACCTTTTCAATAAAGAACAATCTGAAGCAGAAGTCGTGTGATTTCTCCATTAATCACATTGTTTTTTCAATATTCAGCAAGGGTGGTATGAGTTAGCTTCAAATCTGGTGAATAAAATATCAAAGTGGCTCAAAATTGATCAATTCATCCTTCAGCAGTGGAAAGATTGAGGTGTGGGTGTTCTACCCATGAAGTATCTGTTAAAATGTACTGGACAGGAAGTAATTGGGCTTTCAACCTGTTGTTTTTGTGGTTTGTGATATTCACACTAAATGATTCCATTACAAGTGTCTCATGCTCTCGGACTGAATGTAGAGTGTGGTTTTATGAACTTTTCTCCACCATTAGCGGTTTCTGCATTATTCAGCATGTAGGCGGCTGCAGCTATCAGGCCTGAATTCTACCTATTGTCAATCTTTAAGACTAATATATTTTTACAATGTAAGATTAATATGCATTACAACGTGTAGACATTGCGACACATAATCAGTTTTAATGTGAAAGTCATTTCTTGTTAAGGATTACTGGAAACTATCTTCCATTACTGTATTGAAGAATCTTGAATGTTAATATCAATCTAAGTGGAATTTCAAACCTAAAGTTTCAGGATTAACATAATCAATGACAAGTGCTGACACTTCAATAATCAACTCATTCTGCACATCTTCTGCACGTGTTCTCTTTCATTATCTGTGCACTATACTGGACTCCACAGTGGGTTCACTTTGAACTCAAATCCCTTCTGTTAAGTTGTCTGACACTTCTTTCAGATCTAAATACAGTGGGCCTGGTTTTGTATTACCTATTACCTGTGCTACTGTGTGGAGTCCTGTAGCTCAGTGGTTAGAGCACTCGCTTTGCAAGCGAGAGACCTGAGTTCAATTCCAGGCAGAGGGCGAAACCTTGAGCAAGTTTCCTTACTCCACACAGAGCCTAATAATAATCCCTCCAAAACCAAAAACAATAATAAATTGGTCATTTTCAATCTACGACTGTTTGTGGGACATCGCTGTGCGCAATTGGCTGCCGCGTTCGCCCACAAATATACAGTCAATTCACTTTACAGTGTGTTCTGTGAAGCATTTTGGGACGTCCTCCGGACGTGAAAACCGCTATATCAAATGCAAGGATTATTATTATTATTATTATTATTGAAATGCTTCCTGCTTTAGCAGTAGATTTAGGACACAATGGTCCTGGATAACATTCCAGTATATTGCTGGGGGGGGGGGAATGCTGCAATAATGCAGCATTAAGGTGACGTCATTCGGATGAGACTCTAGGAAGTTTACTCTGTCGATTCTGCAAGTTAATGATCTTATTACTTCATTCCTGAAAAAAAGAAGCTTCTGCTTAGTTGTCAATCATCTTATGGCTGTTTGTAGAATTTTGCTGTGCACAAAATTGCTGTCACATGTGTTTACAAAATACAGTCACTATATTTAACATTAATTCGTGTAAATCCTTTGTGGCTTGTCGACTCCATAGCTGCTATAAAAAGGAAAGTGTTTTTTCTGCGTAAGCAATATCTCCCCCTCCTACGCCCCACATAAGGATGAGATGTTCTAAACCAAAGGGCCAAATTTGATAGGGAAAGAAAAGGAGACAGCAATGGAATGGTGTGTGACTCTCGCACAAACCAGAAACAGAAAAGGGTGAGGAAACGCAGGGGAGAAAGTAGAAAGGTGAAGGATATCGACACGGTTTAAAGTTGTTGAAATAAATACAATTTTTAGTACTAATAAGCAAAGAAAAACATTAAAATGTGATTATTTCTATGAAGACCTATGCTACATAGTTGGGAGGAAAGGTACAACACGCCCATGTGATATTGGGCGGGTCAGGCAGCACCTATGGAGAAAGGAAAATGAGTCAAACTTTCGGGTCCACGACCCTTCATCAGAATTGGGGCCTGACGGAGTTCTGACGAAGGGTCGTGGACACGAAACGTTGACTCACGTTCCTTTCTCCATAGATGCTGCCTGACCTGCTGAGTGATCCCAGCGACTTCTGTTTTTGTTTTCGGATTTCCAGCATCTGAAGTATTTTGTGTCCCGTGTGATATTTCATGTTTAATAACCTGTTGCGGGGGCCGCACAGCTGTGAACTTGATTTTCAGTATTCAGGGCTTCTTCTATGTATACAAAACCACTTGTGAAACGTACTTTTTTCGCATCTCATACCCATCTGCTCAAACAGCTTTCATTTAACACAACGAACCAATCGTATAACACGCAGCTTTACAGACCACGTGAGGAACATTTGGAAACATGTTGATGTCTCTGGTACAGAGAGAGCGTTTGTAAAGCAGATGAAAAGCTGAACAGAAGCAGAAATACTCCGAATTAAGAGAGCGCGGAATTAGCAGAACAGAGAGAAACGCAGCGCTGCACACAAAAACCAAAGTGAAATAACCATTAATAATATGTTATTAAAATGTACAATTAAGTACTCTGAAACCTTTTCTTGTAACATCCTTCATGTTGTCACCTATTTATTCGCATCCTCTACTGAACACGCGACACAGTGTTGGGTTACAGCTCTTTGGGTATCAGCAAATACATCGCAAACTGACCATTCATTGCGGCTGAACATATGTTATTCTTCTCCTGTTTTACGTGTTCCCGACTGGGAATTTTCCACCTGAGGAGACATTGCAATAAGTTTAGTAATTTTAAAAAGTTTTACAATGAGTATTGTTTTACAGAAGCCTTTACCGGAAAACTGATTCTATAATTTAAACATATTTCTGCCGCGTTCTCAACTTATTTTAATATGTTAACATTTGCAGTTGGTGTTCAGTCTGAACCTAATGATTGAGCTCCTAAACATAGAGCAGGAAATTGAAACGGAACCATAGCGGCTGACGCTTTTCTTACAACCACATGGACTGTCCTCGCCATTGGCTTAAGGTTTCGTCCACTGAAACCCATTTGTCTCTGAAGCAAAAAACATTTGCGATCAATGAATTCCGTTAACTCTTATGCCGTGTTCACCTTGTCTATGAGGTTAATTGAGATACGAGTTTGGAAACCGCAATCTGTTGCTGCAGAGACAACTGATCAACTGAACTGAGTTTACTCTTAAACCTCAATTGTTACCATTCATTTATCACAATATTATCACAATGCTCTCCCACTCCCCATCTATTTATTTCCATTCGGCCCTGAACACTCCACCGAACAATGGTCACGATATCTTGGTTGCCCAGTATCACAGTTATTGATTATAATTATTGTCTATGTGTTCCTCTCATCAAGAGCGTATGCAGCTTTCAACTTCATATCTAGATTTATTTTGTTGATTTATGTTAATGTTTCTTTCACTTCAATAATGAACTGCAGGAGGACTGCAAAGCTATAGAATACTACTACAGAATTGTTTAATCTGCAGAAAGTTTCAGTTCTGCATTAATTCGTCCCATCACCAGCTGCCCAATAGTGATAGCAATGATCATAATCCTCCCATTTGATCAATGTTTTATCATGCGGACAAAGCGCTTCACTGGATTTAATGTGATGACACTTTAGCCAATTTGCGCACAGCAAAATCCCACAAACAGATCTATAATAAATTATCATATTTACCTCGGGATGTTTGGCAAGGACACTGAGAAAATCGTTTTTTTCTGCGGTAGGGACGTAGGATACTTTACGCCCACATGGACAGGCAAACAGAACATCGGGTAAAACTTTCTCCCATAAGAGGATGTTCTGAAAGTACTCATGACAAGGTTGAACCCATCATCTTCTGACTCAGCGGCCAGAGTGCTGAGCCAAGCTGACGCTTATTCCCCATCCTTGCATTTAATATTGTGCCTTTATGGTGTTGAAACGTTTCAAAACGCATTGCTGTCAAGTTGAATGACACTATTTGCAAGCAAGCAAGCTAATTTGACACTATTTGCAAGCAAACTGATTTTCATTTGCAGAGAAAATGCACAGTTGATTCGCCCACAAATATACGGTCAATTCACTTTATAGTCTATTCTGTGAAGCGCTTTGAGAAGACGAGAAGATGTGAAAAAGCGCTATATCAAATGCAAGGATTATTATTTCCTGCAGGATCGAGTCTTGGAGCGCTTAACAGTGTAAGAACCTGACGCCCAGCGAAGGGGTTGTCTAACGGTCGTCACTGTCGAACAAGAAGATGTGAATGGGGAAGAAGGAGCAACAACAACAACTTGCATTTATATAGCGCTCCTCAAGCAAAGTAGCGTCTGAGAGCGCTTGACTGTGGCGGAGGACGATAGAAGGAGGAGCCAGATGGAGGGAATGAAGGCGTGTGTTGCAAGGTTTCGGGGAGAATCCTCAAAAGCAGACTGCCAATGGTGGAGCACTCTCAGATGGATACAGGCTAAATTGTTGCAGGCTAAGGACTCAGGTCCTCTCCCTGACCTGCTCCTCAGATACATTGACGACTGTGCTGTGGCTACTTACTGCTCTAGCAGTGAGCTGGAAAAATTCACCAATAACACAACCAAATTTCAACCCTCCATAACATTCACATGGTCCATCTCTGACTCTTCCACTTCCTCTACCTCACCATATCCATCTCAGGCATAAATTATCAACAGATATATTTTACAAGTCTACCAATTCCCATAGTGACAAGGACTACACCTCCTCCCACCTTCTGTAAAGGCTCCATTCCCTTTTCCCATTCCTCTGCTTCTGCTGCATCTGTTCTGACAATGCCACCTTTCACACCAGAGCATCTGAATTGTCTTCCTTTTTCCTTAGCCGAGGATTCCCATCCAATGTAGTAGGCAGGGTGTCCTCCCTATTTCCCACACCTCTGCGCCCACCCCTCCCTTCTTTTCACAGAAATGTGATAGGGTCCCCCTTGTCCTCACTTTCCACCGCACCAGCATCAACTTCCAACAAATAATTCTCCACCATTTCCGGCACCTCCAGCGTGATCCAACCACTAAACAAA